TTGTTCAAGGTTAAAGTGAGAAAAATGACTCAAATGAGACATCAAGTTGTTTATTGGGAAAAGCCAACCTTGGAAAGTTTTGCACTAAACGTGGATGGTTTCGCCTTTGGAAACCATGGTGAGTCGGGCATAGGCTATATAATCAAAGATGATAGCGGAAATTTCGTTTCAGCGGAAAGTAAGCCATTAGGCATTAATCAAAGTTTCGAAGCAAAAGTTCAAGCAATGCTGTCAGGATTGAAGAAATGCAAAGAGTTGCAAATACTTAAGTACAAGTGAGATAGAACTTGTTCGTATGCTACTGAATAGGGTTCAATATCCATGGAGGCAAATGACTACTCTAAAAGAGACTAAACAAATTTTGAATAAAACCGGATACAACATTGTGCATGTTTATAAAGAAACTAATGTAGCGGCTGATGCACTGACTAAATTAGGTTCAGTTTCGAGGTATGCTCACTCTAGATCAGAGATCTTATCCCTATATAAGGTTAAAGCCATAACACCATATACTACTAGGGATATGCCAATGGAAAAGAATCCTAGATTCAATATGTCATGTAATATTTAGTCTTATGTTTTGGCAAAAAGATCTATCGTGGGATTTTACAAATCCTTGTAAGACAGTTTTTTAGTAGTAATTGCAATAGAACCATCATGGCGTTTTAAAAAAACCTTTATGCGATGGACTCTTTTCTTTTTAGGTAAGTCTTAGGCACTGTCCTTTATACTAATTTTTCCATATTAATCAAAATTAGGAGAACGCCTGCCAGGTACTATTCTGAATTTCCTTTATAAAAGAAAAAAAAAAGGTATGTTACATACGGGGATTGAATGAAAATGCAAAGAAGTTTCTAATATTTGTGAAATGATTGTTTAAATTAATAACTAATAAAAATTATACATTTTATGAAAAAAAATGATAATAATAGAGTTACAACACAATTTTGTAGATAGAATAAATGTAACAGTTATAACTATTGTCATCGCTAAAAAAAAAAAGAAAAAATGATAGCAATTTTATCCGGTAAAATAATGTAGTGATACATGAAACTACAGAAAAATCCATTCTCTATTCCTTAAAATATGAAATCTTTATTAATGGTGATAATGTCATTTCATACATGCCACCTCTAGAATATTCATATTTTAGATTTAGGTGCAGGCATGAAGGGAAAAAAAAAAAAGGAAAATGATATTCATTTCACTAAATTCATTTCACCCTTTCATCTCACTTTATGGACCATAAATTTCCTACACTTGGTGCACCACTTCCTACACTACATATAAATAACTCAATTTTAATATTATATTTCTTCTCAATATTGGTTCTATTAATAAATCATTTACAATATTATAATTTTTTTCCTTAAGGATTTACTTTTTTCTGGGTTAGGGTCTATTTATTTTAAAATTTTAAATATAAAAATATCCAAAAAGTATATAGAGTTAATAAAAAAATTAATTTTACTTATCAACTTTCACCCAATGGTAAAATGCCATATAAGGTAAGATATAATGGTGAGAGTTGTGTATCATTACTCCAAAAAAAAATACAAATTTGAGTTTTATACTATTTTTAGTATATATATTTGAAAATTCAATATGGACTATTTTTTTTTTTTTGGACGGAGGTACTATTTTATTAGACAACCATCCATTGATTATTTAGAATAATGATAGGTACAAAGAAAAAATTACAAGTAAAAATTGAAAAAAAAAATAATCTTACCCATCCATTATTAACTTTCTAAACAGGATTTATGCATTTAAGGTTAGGACATAGTTTACATATTGACACATCATTCCTTATCAATTTTCTTTGTCATTTTTCCTTGTCTATCACTACTTATTATTTTATTAGTGATTATGATGGAGTTCAATTATAATATAGAGCACCTAAGTATACCTTGCAAGGTGTACCCAGTGTGAAAGTCACGCTCCCAAAAAGGGGTTTACAAAAATGATTTTTCAAATCTTCAGTTCCTGATATTTTTCCTAATTTTTAGCCATCATTAACTATATCCAATTCCTATTCCATTCAATCCAAAGACGTCTCAAACAAAAAATCTAAAAACTCATTTTTCATCTCTGCAGTGATTTGGCATCAGAACCTCTCGTCGGCGGAATCTTTGAAGACGGAATCCGGTTGTGCATCAAATCTCGTGAGTTTGTTTGCAATATATGCTGCTGAATATGAGAATTAATGTAATACATGATTTTATTCATTGGTATTTTGTTCATCGGTTTCACTTGTTTCTTCCATGTATGGAGTTCTAATAATGATATTTTTTCTGAAATATTCATGTAGAGGTCACGATTGTGTACTCTAATTCAAATAAAATCAACTCGATGACTGAAGAGAGAAGGAGATAATACTATTAATCTCTTCAACAATTAATGTGTTTTTTGGTTGGGTTATGTAGATCTGAGGACTCTCTATTCGATTATAAATGATTGCTCACCAATTTTTTTTAGTTTTGTTCATCCATTTGTTGTTGATTTTAGAAGGATTTTCCAGATCTGTTCATTATTCAGCAATTACCCATCCTTTATTCATCGATAATAATGGATAATTCATCATAATGATTGGCTTATGTGATGGCTATTCATTTTTTATGAATTGTTATTCATCGGAATGGATAAATGGAATATGTATATTTTCGTCATATTTATCCGTAATATGTGGTTATTCATCAATTTGTATCTTCAACGTATTGTTCGAATGACCTATACATGTACATGGATATAGTTATTTCTCAGTAAAATTGTAAGTATTCATCCAACGAATTTATGATCCTAATGCACTACATCTTCTGTTATTATTAAGTAAAACATGTAAGATTATTCATCATTGGTGAAGTAGTTATTCATTTTGTATCTGATACTAAATTAGTATTCTTTTGTTTTATTGGAACGCAACGCTTATTTGGAACTAATGTTGAAATTTGTAATTAAATATAATTTGCATTTTATGGATTTCGAGTACGATATGTTGATCCATTATTCATCATATTAAAAGTGATTATTCATCCTCTGCGAATCTGTTATTCATCATGTAATATATGCATTTTGGATATTTTGATTTCGATTAGATGTGTGCAAATTTAATAATTATTTATCATATTAAGCATGATTATTCATCATCTATTAAGACGTTATTCATTATGTAGTCTGTTCATTTTAAGCATTTGGTCTGAATTAGGTATGTGCGAATATGATGGTTGTTCATCTTCTACCGTGCCGTTATTCATCTAAAGATTGATATGATATAGTGATGTGAATGTACGTCATTCATAATGTGAATTTGTGTGGTTCGTCCTTTGAATCTGTTTAGTCATACTGCAAATATCATTCATCCTACAAAGATGTGTCATTCATTTTAATGGTATTATTATTCGTCATGTATGTGATTGTACTCAATTGTAAATATGTGTCATTAATCTTGTAAAATAGTATTATTCATCCTGTCAATATATGCCATTCATCCTTTGAACATGTGTTATTCATTCTATAAATATGTGTATTCATCATTCAAGGATATGTCATTCATCACCAGTGATGTTGTTATTCATCATGTAATATGTACCTGTACACGATTGTTATTAACTGGATTCGATTTATGTAATTTTAATGTTTATTATTCATCTTTAATAGCATTGTTATTGATGATTAACAGAATTTTGATTGAATGTGAAATCTCACTTATTGTAATGTCCTTTTTGTTTGATGAGCGACAAAGAAATGCTCATCAAGATGAACTTGATCGGCCGAGAATCAAATATTTGGCAGAGTTGCTGAAATTAAACAATCAACATAAATGTATCTAGCATTGGCGAATCCTTAAAGTCCTTATATATTAAAAACAATGACCAATTTTTTTGTTCAATTTTGGTCTTGTATAATACATAATTAGAAGTTTGTTAGTTTAGTTGATGACATTAACTCATTGTATAACATACTCTTGTTAGTTTTTTGTTAATCGAAGTCTTTCATTTTGTTGCGCATTATTCATCTACTAACGACATTTTATTTATTTATTAAGTTACAATTATTTATCTAACAAAACTATATCTATTTTTCATTTTACTATTTTATTCATCTAGGTTGAGATTATTATTCATCAAAATTTGTTTCGTTATTCATCTTTATAAACATCGATATTCATTTCAAAATTTAAATTTATTCATCCATAAATTTGTCACTACAAGAACACCATTAATCATCCACAGTATTATCATTATTAATCGATAAGTATACCATTATTCATCCAAACAAAGATTGTTATCCATTAAAATCTTCCAAATTTGATGTTTAATTTTTCGGATTCCATTGGTAAACAATTGAAATTTTTTGTTTCACTTGATTCTCCATATTCATAAGTTTCGATGATGAACCATATTCAATTTTATCAAAATAAAATCTATCGTTTTTAAAAAATTTTCTCATAAAATAAAATAATATGAAAACTAACATGATAACCATTAAAAAAAATAACAGCTTGAAATTAAAAGTGTGCTAAAAAAAGATAAGATTTGGAGGATTAAATGCGTGTGTAGTGTCATAAAATCTGGACTAAAGCTCCACTTGTGTAGAAAGAGAGTGTATTACACATGTCCATGAGCTACACCTTGCAAAATATAACTTGGTGTTTGTTATTATTTGATGTGTTTTGAGTGCAGAACAACAACTTCCTCTTTTAATTCTTTTACTGGAAACCTTAACCTATTAACCATTACCACTTTAGAGAAGATAAGAGTTCGGGAGGAGTCAGGTTAGATATTAACCACGATAATTTTCCAATTTTCCCTTTCTGGAAAGTTCTAAATGTTAGTTTTTCATTCACAATTTCGCATTTAGCACAAAATTAGAGTAAAATCTTTATTACCTGTCCGTCAGATATTGAGGGTTAAACCCTCTTTGAAGACATAGAAAATTAGAAATGCTTAATAATGTATGAAAAGAACCAACCCAAAAAAAAAATTAAAAATTAAAACAAAATACTGTGTTCTCTATCTAAAAATAGCTATTGTTTTTTATCCACCACCAACATCTGAACTAGTCTTAAACGAGCACATGTATAATATATAATATTGAAAAGGTAATAAAAAGGATAGAAGAAGAAAAAATGTGTTGCGCATTATAAACTAATTTTCATTCAAGTCGAATAGTTTGTGAGAGCTCTTCCCACAAGTCAAATCCACTATCTTGTTTCTACCCCCAAAACTTGAAGACTTGTATGTAGATTTATATATATAGAGACAAAATCCCCTTTGGTTCATTTATTTAATGTTAAGGTCCAATTAAGTCGGCTGGTACGAACACATGAGAAAATCAAAGAAGACAATTATGAAAATATTGTTCCATATCACCTTGTTTTTAACACTTCTTTTATGTATTCATCAGATTTTCCGAAGTGGTCGACAGCCAAAACTCAAAAATCCATGGAGTCTGTAGAAGGAGAAGAAGATCAATGCAACCAAAACGAGCAGCTGGCGAAAGATTCAATCACAAATGGTCAACATCCTCTTCAACACCATCACCATTATCATCATCATCATCAATTTGTTCGTAAAGTTTCCAAGAGTTTGGTTCTGTTTTCGGCATTAGCTCTTGCCATATTTGTTGTCTATCACTCCTCAAAACTTCCTGCTTCACTCCACAATTCATTTTCCTCATCAATGCCAAAGGTAAGTTTTACTAATCAAATTAAACTCTCTCTCTCTCTATTGTCACAACTGATTTTGTTCATCTTTCCGTTTATTTTTCCACTAATTTTATTTGAAAAGTAAAACATTTCAATTTTTGAGGGTTTCTGTTATTTTGTTGAATGTGATTAGTTCCAGCAATCAAGGGATCTCGTTAAGAAAGATAAGAAGAGATCATATTACATGTATATATTCACTTAAAAAACGGGATTTAAGTATCCTTGTACTTCTCTTTTATTTTTACTTTTTCTCCCCCTCTTTGTGGGGTGTGTATGTGTGTGTTTTCTCTTCTCTTAGGCAAAATCATTAGAGCTACTATCATGTGCATCTCTTGCATCGATTTTTTATTTTTATTTTTTTACCATTCTCCAGAATTCATCTGAGAAAAAGATGTGTGTGTGTGTGTGTCTATTATATGAAAAAAAAAAAATGCAAAAATTTGCATAAATATAACACGATAGATTTTATTTTAGTTAAATAACAACAACCGTCTCAGTTCCAAAGCCGTGAGGAGAAGCTACTCGTCCAATTCAGATTCCTCACTCAACTTGATAACGAATTTTGTTTGTTTAATTGTTATTAGCAATACTAAAAGCATGATCTTCTTTCTGAGTACATATCTAACTCTACAATTAAAGAAAAACTTGTTGCCAAACTCTTGATTAAGAGACTTAATAAATCACAATTACTGCTAAACGAATTGGATTAGAACTCTATCACCATTGGGTGGCCATAGAAATGTGTTAGATGTAGCTGCCTAGAATTCGTATATTCTCTTTGTCCGGAAGGAAAAAAAAATACTACTAGGAATATATATATATATATATATATATATATATATATATATATATATATATAGTTTAGATGTGATCCAGTACTTTAACTAAGCATTTCAGGCAATTAGTTTCGTTAGAGGTCGCAAATCAACATATTTGTCCTTGTCTTAGGTCGTTACAGTCTTACAAGTTGTAGCCAATCAAAATGCAGATGACACATATATATGTAGCTTACATTATGCGTACTTATGTTCCTTTCGTCTCCAAACGATTATGTGTTTTCATGCAATCATTTTATGAAATAAGGAAATAATTACTACTTAGTTGATGAGTTGAAAGTCATCCTATTCTAGGAAATAGACAAATGAGAATGTGGAATAGACATTTAAGGCTAATTTTGCCCACCGCTTGAGATTGATTGAACCAGATTACAGCTATCTCGAAAATTGGCTTTATGTGTATTTATAAACTGGTTCCGGGGTGGCTTACGGTCAGTGGGATTGTAACGATCCGAATTTTTACTTTAATACTATCTTCATTTCAAAAAAATAAAAAAGAAAAAAAAATTCAAAGTGAGTTCCAAGGTTTAGTATCTCAAAACTTATTGTGGACTATTTTTTTTGGAACAGAGAGAGTATAAAAGAAATCCCGATTCACATGAACTAAAATGTCGATTCAAGATTTAGAGAAAAGAAATTGCAAATAGTGAATCATGGGTACAAATAAATGAGTGTAACCGAGATTGATCTGTGGGACTAGTCTAATCTTGACTTGCAAAAGTAGCAGAAGGTTCGGGCTCGATCAAGCTCACATGTACATTATTAAACTCAACTTAATTACATCATATGCATTCTGAGGAAAAAAAATTTACTTAATACATCGTATGTATGTTGTTTCAAAAAATAGTTCATTTTATCGTATTATTTTAGTTCAATGACATTAATTTTTTTGGGGGATGGATAGGGTCTTATTTTACAACAAATAAACAGAACAATGTTTTAGGAGTATATTTGTTGTTATTAGTGAAACTAATTACATGAATAAATTTTTTTTTTAATATTTTTCTTTCTATATTTGATATAGGAACTTGTTGAGTTGAGTAAAGTAATGGAAAAGACAGCCATGAAAGACAAAACAGTGGTGATAACCACATTGAATGAAGCATGGGCAGTACCAAACTCAATATTTGATCTCTTCCTAGAGAGCTTCAAAATTGGGAACCAAACAAAATGGCTGTTGAACCATTTGGTAGTTGTTGCCTTGGATCAGAAAGCATATGATCAATGCTTAAAAGTACATCCCAATTGCTACAAACTCAAAACCGAAGGCATTGATTTCTCAAGCGAAGCTTATTTCATGACCAAAGACTACCTAAAGATGATGTGGAGAAGGATTCTGTTTCTCCAAACTGTTCTTGACTTGGGTTACAACTTCATTTTCACGGTAACGTTTAAGTCTTCGCCCTTTTGTTCACATATATATATTTTGGTAAAAACTTAATTTGTTATTTTGTGTGACTAAGAAAAAATCATACATTTTTACATAAAATCACAATTTAGCTAACTAAAAGTAAAATGAAACCCGAGTCACACTTTGTGTTCACGGGTTGAAAGGCAAGAAAATCGTATTTTTTTATTTATCTGATTGAGTTTAAAAGTGACAATCGAGTCTTATTTCATGTTCAACAAGTTAAAAGTATGTCATTTTATTTTTTATTTTTAAATATCGTGTTAATTTGCAATTTAGGATGCGGATATAATGTGGTTTCGAGATCCATTTCCACACTTTCATGCAGACGCTGATTTCCAAATAGCTTGTGACTATTTCCGGGGTAACTCTTCCAACTTAAACAATTCACCGAACGGAGGTTTCACCTACGTAAGATCAAACCAGAAAACCAGACAATTTTACAGATTTTGGTACGTATCAAGGAACCTATACCCAAACAATCATGACCAAGATGTGCTCAACAGGATCAAACACGACCCTTTTCTCAAGCACATCGGATTGCAAATCCGGTTCTTGGAAACCAAATTCTTTGGTGGATTTTGTCAACGAAGTGAAGACTTCAATTTGGTTTGCACAATGCATGCGAATTGTTGCGTTGGTTTGGACAACAAGATATATGATCTTAAGATCATGCTTGATGATTGGAGGAAGTATATGTCGAAATCTAGAAACGGGACGTCATTGTTAGAAAAATCATCTTGGAACGTTCCTCAACATTGCGGGTATTTTTCTATACTCTAATTAATTAGTTAGTTAACTTGATCTTCTGATCCATAAGAGACTATGAACCAGATGATCGTATCTCGATTTTTTTCCTTTCTTTCTTTTTTTTTTTTTTAATATTCGTGTTTCAAATCAAATTCAGTTGAAAGTTTATCATTTTGTGATGTTTGAATTGTTTTGCAGACCAGCATCGTTTCGACCTCGTCGAATGCCAAAGAATGGAACTCAAGGAGGCACATGAAAAGACATGATATGCCCATATCTACGTGGAATTAGGAATTGGAATTCATATGTAACCCTTTGGATTTAAGAAATGAAAATCGTAGCTGATTGAAGTAATCAATCATTTACTTCATTAATTAGTAACCCCACTAAAATTTGGATTTACTTCTAATTAATTAATTGTGTTTCCATTGCCGATGGAAGATAAGGGTATGGGTTTCGAGGGTCCACAATGTAAAGCTCAGAGGGATCCCTCCATCTTTCAATTAAGCGTAACAAAAAGGTTGAAAATATAATTTCTTTGTTCAAAAAAAAATAGTCCACAAATTATACTTACAAATTACGATTTGATATTTTTTTTTTTTTTGTGAAATGGAGAAGTATGTTATAAGAGATGTGGAAAAGGCTAGATTTACAACTAAATAACAACAAATACTTTCATTATTCACAATATAATTAACCCGTTGATCAAATTTAGGAACAATAACCGTGACTAGTGGACCAAAAATTAGACCATAGTTTGGTCTGCTTTTCTGACACAGTTTTTGGGCTTCTTTGCAGTTTGGATTTATTATTCGTCAAGTCTTGCTCCCAATCAAAATGCTAAGTCCACGCATCCCCCATCTCTACTGAAAATGCAGCTTTCATGAGTTCTTTTTCGCCATTAACTAAAAGTTGATGGATTTTTTTCCTACAATGATTCCCTTTGAGTGGTAAAGATATTGTGTTATGTTTTCTATACTTTGGATTCAAACTTCTGACATTGCTAATATATTTCCGACTTGAATTTTAATTAATTTGGGCATTGACTTCCAACCCGAATGTGCAATATACCTCAAAATAACAAAATTGATGGTTTTTTTTTTCTTTCTTTCTAAGAAAACAGTCATTTTTGCTACCTAAACAATGTCAAAAAGTCACGGTTTTAAGCCCTACTAAGAAGACTTATGGAATAACAAATGAAAAGATATGATTTTCACAAAAAGTGATAATAATACTAGTACTAATGATAATAAAAGAACTTTGGGAGAGAATGCTTGAGTTTAGTTGTCCGGCATCCCCGTTTCAGGAATGTGTTCCAAAGCCAACATGGAGAGTGATAACTTTGTAAAACGGTTTTTACCCAGGTAACTAAATTTTAGAAACAAGAGATTTACACATAATTTGCTACTTTACCATTGGTTCAGAATGACTTCCCCATTTGACAAGCTACTTTACCATAATTTGCTCATTAATTAAACTATAAATTTGCAATGGAAGTGCCTTGTGAAGTTTCTCGTGCCGATTCATACAACACACTGTACAGAAAAGTTGATACACGAATATAGGTTATTGGTATCTACTTAATGTAACAGTTGAAATTATTAACCAATGAAGATTCCGGCAAAATTGAATGAAACTCATGTTTGGAAGGTATTTTGAGTGTGTTTTTAAAAAAAAGTGCATTGAGAATGTAACAAAATTATGTTGGGATGGAATAGATATTAATAAAAAATTCTGAAAAAATCATCCAAAAAAAGAACCAAACAGATATAGTAATAAAATATATTATATTACTTCCTTTTTAAAATTTAAGTCTACTTCATTCATGATTTTTTTTTAGAGGAATCGGCACAAGAAAATGTCATGGATGACCTCTACCGGAGTCCCTAAATTAATTTAGTACTATAAAACCCAGTAAGAACCCTATGCCTATATAGCGGTAAATTTTGGTATCGATCCTACCTACCCACTGATGTACTGGAAGTCTGGAACTTGGGAAATCGCATTCCGTTCTAATTATTGATAAATACTTGCCGTTCTGACTTCTGGGATTTGGTACAAAAGCTCTGAAAATGTCACCCTTACTATTATCAAGACTGCATAATTGGAGCCGATTCGCAAAATCAGGAGAACTTATAGGGATATCCACACAGAGGGGGTTAAGATTAAGACACTCAAAATGGAAACATGGCATCCAGCTCATGCCCCATTATAATCATCATTTCCCCATGAATTCTTATTTTAATACTACCACTTTGCCCTTTCATCAAAGACTACAACCATCATTACAAAGATGCAGGGATAACAGACTTCTATAATCGGAAATGGCCATTAATTTCAGTTCATCATACTCTGTTTTGGTTGCATAACCTCTTAACTTTCTGAGCGAAAAGACAAGAAATGCAAATCAATTTTGTCATTAGCCCCCCAAAGAAAAAAAAAAAAACCCTGCAATTTTTCAGAGAGCTATGGAGCATCAATGATGAACATCACCCCTTTTTTCCCTTTCATTTCCTGCTGGATCCAATACCAGTCCCTTTCTGTGATGATGATGTGAACCTTAATGTAAAAACAAAGCCCTCAAAACTCAAAAAGGCAAGAACTCAGTTGGGCATTTTCCATCCCACCATTAACAGCAACATGCAGCAGGTGGGGAGGCACTTTTTGCCAGTTTTTTTGCTCCAGCTTGCAAGGAGAACTCACTCTACTTTCAAATTTCCATGGCGCATTAAAGATGCAAACATCAGTTTCAAACTGGCAAAAAAATTAACGGGGAGGAAAAAAACAAAAGGGTGAAGGCATGATCAATCGTAATCAAATGGAAGGAACAAAAAAAAAAGGTTCTCTTCGCATTTTACATTTTTACTAACATAACTTTTGCATACTGCTTTTTTCTCTCTTCTTTTCTCATTGCCATATGAACAAAAGCTCCAAAAAAAGGAACAGACATGCCTTTATCACGGTACCAAAAAACCAAAAAACTGAAAAAGAGCCATCTCCAAAGATTGATCATCATTGCCAACACCAAGCCAAAACGGGCCTCTCAGATCAAAATTTACAGTTCATTTTACAGGGGAAACAAAAAACCTTATAAAAAAAAAAAACCATCTTCCAAGGCCGCATCTTTTTAGGCTCTTCTTCTTCTCTCTGTTCCTGTACTATAATAACGGCAAACCTTGGCCTCACCGCCAAAATCTCCGATATGTTGTTCTTCTTCTCAAAGCCACTATTTTTAACCAAAGTACTGTCTTTTCTTTACTCTTTTCTTATATAGTAGTCATAAACATAATTAGGTGAGCTTGATCATCAGTCGGTTAAAAAGCATCAAGCAGCGGCAACTGTGCTGGTGCGAAACGTGCAATCTCGGGCGGTTTTATTCGGGGAAGACGATTTTCTTTGATCCTTTTTCCTCATAGCTCTCATGGAGGCGGAGAGATTCCAACTCTTTTCTTTAGCTTCATCCATCTCTATTTGCTCTTGTCTGCACTCTTCACTACAGAATGGAGTATCTCCTCTGTATTCATCGAAACCATAACAGAGTCAGTATAACTCAAATTAAAACTACATCGAAGAACAAAAAGCAAAACTACATCAACCAAACAAGTTCCAGTCTTTCCACCTATTTTTCCAATTTCATTACCATAGAGCATAAAAATAATTAACTTCCCGTATTCATCAATTTCCTATTATAATTAACAAAGATTGAATCTTTCTAGAAAGAGGGTAATTTCAAACTCTAAGAGTGACCCAGAAAGGAAAAAAGACAGATTGTTATCAAGAATCAATCACATGGGAGTCTAAGAAAAAAAGGGCAGAGAGCTAATCAATCAAAATCAACAAGAACTAACCTGTACATAAAGATATCACTGTTGGCACCAAGGAGCTTCTGGCAGAGAAAACAAGCATCCAAGAAATGGGGCTGTGGCGGCTCCTCATAAAACCTCATAGTAGCATTAACAGATCTAGGCGATGAAACAAACCCAGTACTAGTAACCGAAGAAAAACTCCTCAAACTGTTCCTTCTTTGAATACTGCTGTTATTACAATGGAGAAGTGGCCTAGAAACCAAAGGGTATTTTTCAATGTTTCCTGAGAATCCAGCTTCCATGTCTGCTAAAGAAGCAAGACCGTCGTCTTCTTCATTGAAACAATGCCTCTTTACAGGCTTTGTTGAGTCCATTAAGAATCAGAAAAATATTATTAAACAGTTTTTTTCTTTTTTTTGCTTATTGTTTTGATTGAAGAGATGGGAAATTGGAGAATGGAACAGAGAGAGTTGAGAGAAATGGGGGAATTGAGGGGTGAGTGGAAGCAAGAGAAGTGGGTTATAAAGAGAGGTTGGTGAAGGAAGGAGGAAAGAGAAAGAGAGAGGAAAAGACGATGACGTTAGAGAGAGAAAGAGAGTGTGTTATAGAGAAAAGTGTAAACCACGGCGAGAAGGGTTTCAGGATTCCGTGCAAGTGAATCTATTGGCTCTTTAAAACTTTTTTTTCGCTTTTTTCGTACTGGTATTCGTTTTAATTTTTTTTTTAATTTTTAAATTAAATTCCTATGTTTGCCCTTGTAAATGGTTTTATATTACTTTGAAGCCATTTTAGCTATTTACACGTGCTCAATATTTATAGTTTACTTGATGCCAATCTTTTCAAGTTCAAGTGTAACATTTGCGTTGTGAGGATGGATATTTATTTGTTCAATTCCACCTACTTACTTTTCCAAAAAAAAAATTCCACCCACTTACATTAAATACAATACAAAATATTATTATAAATCTTAATTTCCAATTAACTGTTATTATTCCATATATTTTTATGGCCAAAGAGAAAACTAAAACAGGAATATTAACTATTTAAATACGCCTAGAATGTTTAATGTAATTAGACCTACATTAAATAATTCAATAAGAAAGTTCGTAATCCCTTATTACAAGTTTATAAAAGCTTGGAAATTTCAAATTTATCCAAATTTGGTAGATAAACAAATAAAATTAAGTGACCAAAAGATGTGTTTACATCTTACAACATTGAACTTCTATTGGTTATGGAGGGAAAAAAAAATCAATCATACGGATATTTAAAATAAAATGTCAATGGTGAAAAATAAAGAACTCAAATCTAAGGTTGAAAGTTATCTCAATGAGAATAATTTAGGAAAGAGTTTTTGTTCAAAGCTCACTTTACATTTTTTTATACCAAATATCCATATAAATTTAACATTGTGTATTTTACAAAGATGTACAGGTAAGGATTGAAGGTAACTTGTGTTTATTTTCATATTTTTCCTTCCTTCATGACTAAACCATGAACTCATTTTATTGACTAATAATTATCAGTAATTAAATCGTTGATGTGTATGTGGAGAAGAAGACCCAAGAATAAATTAACTAAAGATGTGTTGAAGACTTCATCACTCTATTAAATGTTGATTGTAATTTTGTTTTAAAAAAAAATATTAGTCCAAAAAACTAAAAAAAAAAATGACATAAAGAAATTAAAAAATAACTTGAAAGCAAAAGGTTGATAAGTACAACAACCTTTAAAATTACAAAAGGTTTAAAAAAAATAATTGGACAACAAACACCGGTTTTTACATCAGACTTATTTTTGGTCATTTTTGTTTTTTGCTCGTTATCAAAATGGGGGTAAAATAGAGAAAACGGTAGTCTCGTTTGTATATTCACGGGTAAAGAAAAAACGAGAGAAAAAGGAAAAAGGCAATTAAACAGAGGGGTGGGGTCCAGAACTAGCTTCCTGTGGACCGAAGTAATCCCACTCGCAACCAAACTGCACATGAAATGCTCCCCGCTCTTTCTCTACTAAAGTGCAAATTTTGTAACGTCAAATTATTCTTCCAGCGGAAACGATGGGGCCCACGTCCGAGTTTAGGCGCGTCAACTTGTGAAAAGTGTCACGTCTTGGCCCTGCATGGACCCACAGCTGTACCTTGGTTACTTTCTTCCTTGACTCCGCTTTGCTTAGTCTTGAAAGATTTCTTCTTTTCTTCCCCCACTTTTAATGTGTGGTAAAACAGGTAAAAAGTCCTTACAGGCGGTGAGGGATGTTTGGTTGATTTTTTTTTTAATCTGACACCAAAAGTAATTATTCTGGTAAAAGTATTCCCTGAAATTTTCACTGGCAATTCACAGTAAATTTATCATCAGTGAATGTGGAATAGTGGTATACTGAAACACATTATGTGCTCTGTTACTTATTTGGTGAGAATTAGGTAACTTTCACATGATATTTAAATTGATTACAGAGAGATTTTGACATCGGATTAGTAAAATTTGTGTCATTAATAATTTATTTTATCACTTTATCTTAGTTTTATTGAATGTTAATGACGGGATCAGCACTCCACATGAGTGCATTGTAAAAATGGCCAATTTGTATGAGGCAACTCCAATTAATTGAATTTTCTTCTAATTATATTCTATTGGGCAATTAGTAAAAAAGTCATACTAATGGAAGTTAGACTTAGTTTACGGTTTACCGAACAAAATCACTTTTAAACTTTGAAGCAAATGATCAAAGGTTTAGACATGAAGATTAAAGAGTAATATGATCCGTCAAATTATTACGCATAGAGAATTCAATTTTTTAAAAAATAAATGAATAGAAAAAATTATTAAGGTTAAATAATTCGCGTTAAGTTGGGATTATTTTTAAACTTAATATAATGCAACATACTTCTAATTTCAAAATAAAGAAGAGAATATTCATAAACTTTTGAAAATATTTTTCATTTTATGAAGAACATTACAGAATGATGTGACGTACTTTTTTGAGGTCCATACATGTAGATCAGTCAAGTTATAGAGCTAATTCAAACCCCTTACAATGGGAGTAGGTCAAAGAGTGATAAAAGATTAATTTAACTGTTCCCTAATTTAATTATTGTTTGAAGCGTGTGTAGTTCGTGGATTATGATGATCATTGATCTCAATTATTGATCGTAACATTTGGGTAAATTAACCTAATCCATGGCTTTCATGGGAAATAGGTCAAATTTAGGTAAATGGTAAAATCACTAGAAATAGTACATACTACAACCTCATTCTGTTTATGTTTTTTTGTTTCTTTTTTAAATGAAAATGACAAATAAGTACTATCACCTCATAGGTTTTGCATTGAATGAGGATTACCAAGTCAAACGAAATAGTCATCTACTAATAATATAGACCGAATTATAAATAAACATAGCCAATAATGGAGGGAGGACCGCAAAACAAATATAAAGATATAAGAAAGTTAAAGAAAAACTGAAATTCAAAAATGGACCGTAAAAAAATAAATGAGAGGTCGGTGTCTGTGGGCTGTTGAGAATTGACCAGCAGGCTTTTAAGTATTTTCACTTTTTTTTTTTTATATTACTATAAATTTGGGCAGAATCGTAGGAATGAATCCAAACGGGTCACTGCTTCGGGAGTCAACTCCTTGAGGAAACTACCTAACCCAATTTAATATGCCTGCGAGATCTTTCTCATTGCCATTTTCCTAGACTTGATTGCGAAATCCTTTAATTTAATTTAAGTAATTTTAGGTTATTAAAGTATCGGATTATACTAATCTTAGTTTCGGTGATTTCGAATTTGTGAAATTTGATTATACGTTACTCTCGGATTTGACAAATATGAAAGAACTAGTATTGTTCACTTAATTTAAATCCATATTATTTTTGTCCAGAAACTTTTTAAAATAATTTTTTAGGTAAAAAAAACTCGATCTTTCTTTCTGATTGCCATTTTCCTACACTTGAGAACCCTCGTCCTTTTTGTTTTATTAATAATTGCACTAATATTGATTAAAGGAAACCTTCTAGAAACAACACCATAAAAATGGTACAGTTGCTAATGAGGAATTTCCAATGCAAATTGTTTACACCGAAATCTTAAGGAAGCTGCCACAATGCCGTCCTCGTTCATTTGCAAGCTAGTACTACAATATATTTTACTTTAACAGAGTGTTTTTTTCTTCCCTCGTAGAAAGAGAATCTACTTCATCCATCATTTTTCTCATAGGAAGCGAGTAATTTTTTGCTCACCAATTTTAATAGTATATTTTGTACAATATATCTTTATTATTAGTTGGAAAATGACATCGGGGTTTAAGAAAGGATTACTATTTTTCGCTCTATTTTTTTTCCTTATAACCTCTAAAAGGTAATGGGATTACAGGATTGGACTTGTGTGGAAACTGTTAAACCAGAATTTCTATTTTAACTTATAGCTTCTAGTTTAAGACACGAGGTTTGAGGAGTCCATTAACTCTAAAAAAAAGAATACTTGTTGAAATGGTAAAAGAATATATAATCAAAGCTATAAAAAAGGAAAACCCCCGAAGAAAAGGGGAAAAGACACAATGGAGTTGACGCGCGATGAATGTGCGAGTGGTATTGAAGGTGGTACGTGGAGCTCATGCAGGGAATCCACGACCAAGATCTCGCCACGAATTACATCCACCGTTGGTTTTATTTAAGGGTGTTAGTTTTTAAAGCCACCATCTTTACTACTCAAAGTCACCTAAAAAAAAATAGACCATTTTGCCCTTGACATTTCAAACTTCAACCAAAGGAAAAAAGAGAGAAAACTTGAAGTCACCTTCCTTCTAAACCCCAATTTGAAGTCTAATTTGATCCAAAATTGATGGTAACACGGAAGAATCAAAGCGTGAAAGAGCCGATCTCATCACGAATACGTTTTTTTTAAAAAGAAATTTTTGTGAATTGTAGAAAAAGAAAAAAAAATTTGCCGCGGGAACGCCAAGGAAGTCGTCCGCAATGACCGGACGCGCAAGAAACGCGTCGAGTTCAACCCGAACGAGCAAAACGCCCGTCCGGGTTGAACCGGACGCGTTTCTTGCGCGTCCCGGCCGAGCCGCCGGACGGCTTCCATGCCGTCCGGCGGTAGAAATTTTTCTTTTTTTTTTCTTATTTTGTGTGGCCGCGGACGGCCATGGAAAAGCGTCGTGGCGCGGCAAGGACGCGCAAGAAACGCGTCCGTTCAACCCGGAACGGGCGTTTTGCTCGTTCCGGGTTGAACCGGGACGCGTTTCTTGCGCGTCCCGATCGCGCCGCCGAACGGCCAAGCCGTTCGGCAGTCAGAATGCTTTTCCTTTAAAAAAAAAATTTATTTAATTCGTTATTAGTGTTTAATTTAATATAATTAGGGTTATAATGTAGTTATTTATTAATAAATAGTTTATGATTTAGATTGAGGTTCTCTATTAGTTGGTTATTTAGTTTAATTGTGTAAATAATTTAATTTGATTAGTTTGTAAATTAGTTGAGTTTAAAAGACTAATTTAATTAATAGTAGATTAATTCACTATCTAATTAGTTTAATTGATTAAATTACTTAATTTAAGTAGTTATTAAAGTACTTAGGTTATGTTTTTAATTTAATTAATAGTAAATTAGTAAAGCTAATCTAATTTGTTTGTAATGTAATTTATGATTAATTAAATTAATATAAATATTTTGTAAAATAATTGAGTATTTTGGTCTACACCCATGTTTGGACATACCATGTATAAGCTGTTTCACTCTATCGCTAAGGCCCT